GTGTGTGTGTGTGTGTGTGTGTGTGTGTGTGTGTGTTTGCACATGTGCGTGGATCTCCCCTCCCCCCCCCCAAAAAAAAAACCTGCAGCAGAGGCTTTTGGTTTTCTGCTACTTTCTGGAATCTTCCATCGTTACCGTAAGCTGCAGCTTCTCTGACCATCAGAAAACGTGCTTCTGGTAAAATAATCTGTGTGCAGAAGCATCGCTAGAGATTTATGAAAAAGGAAGCTAAGCTAGTAGAGCCCGATTTTAAAGAAAATGAACGAGAACAAACTAGTTCAGCTAATTAGTGTATGCATATTTGGGGGGGGGGGCAAAAAGAGATTTTAGGGAGGGTTAAGCCCCCCTAAAACAGCCCCTGAGATGCCCCTGTCTGTCAGTATATGCACTGCGATGGACCGGCATCCTCTGTGGGGTGTCTGGTTACCAGCGGTATAACTGATAAAAAATGTCTTTTGAAGAATTTGAGTCCTGTTAGTTAAGGAATCTGTGTGTTATGTTGCTTTTCCTCGATCTGTCACAGTTTCTAACTCATTTGATACATATCAGATAATAACCACAGGATAACAAAGGCTTGCCCCCGGCAGTGGGCGGGTCGCGACCCTACGCCCACGCGGCAGCCACCTGTCAGCTCTTATTTTTGTGTCGCTGTTCTTCGGTTCCTTATGGCCCAGCTACGGTGGCTGATGGCTGGGACAGAGCCCTCCGGAAAAACAAAAGGGAATCCTCAGCGCTGATGTCATCGTGGACAAAGAGTCGCTGCCGAGAGCAACGGCTCCCAGTGGTGACCTGGGGGAGGACTGGGGTGAGCGGGGGTGGAGTGGGGGCTGCAGAAGTGAGGAGAATTCTGCAAGCTTGTCTTTGCCTTGATTTATTTTTCTCTGAGCCTACTGGTCAGAGGAGTGTATCAAATAGGGGGTGTCTCTATAAATGTAGAAGACCCCCCCCCCCACCGCGGCTGCACTGCACCAGTCTGGCGATAAATGTCTCTTTAAAACATGCGGCGAGGGTGGTTTGTTTAACCGGTCCCCCCCCCCCTCCTTGACAGCTGCGTGAGTGTGATCGTGCCGGCGGAGGATCGGGAGCGACAGCAGGCTGAATGATCCCAGGGAGGTTGGGGGGGGGGGGGCGCCTGTTATTTGCCCGGGAACAGGCTGGCGGATGTGGGATCGGGTGACGGTGAGTGAGCGCACCGCAGAGAGCCGACTGCCGCTGGATTCGGGGGGAGGGCATTTTTGGGAAATCAGTGTTCCTGCCATATGCAGCTTGGGGTGGAGGGGAGGGGGTACAGACTTTCTGGGGAAGGAGTCGTTTCAGATGACGGAAGGGGCTTTAATACATGGGACAATTGTTTGCATAATAGTAGCCGCTTCCTGATTGGTTAGACTACCGACCGAGGGCTTCTGATGAATTTCCAACGGGGGCTGTCAGAAGTTAGCAACAAGCAGCATGTGAAATGCAGCCCCTCCTCTATCGCACGGATGCTTTTTCTGCTCCCTCCAGCCCCTCCTCTATCGCACGGATGCTTTTTCTGCTCCCTCCAGCCCCTCCTCTATCGCACGGATGCTTTTTCTGCTCCCTCCAGCCCCTCCTCTATCGCACGGATGCTTTTTCTGCTCCCTCCCCTCCTGCACCCAGATATGCTGCCGGCGTGTCCGTTCCACGCGACGCTCAGATCCTATCACATGCGCATCTGTGTCTGTTTGAGGACTTGTGGCACCGCTGGGGAGGGAGTGTCCAGAGGAGGGCGCTGTGCTGTGCTTCGATTGGACATGCTACTTTGAGGGGGGGGGGGTGGCTGAGTCAGGCTTTCCAGTGGCTGTTTTAATGTGCCGGTCGTTCCATCACTGCGATTAGACGCACAGTAAGTGAGTAAAATGGGGCGTTCGTGAGTAAGGGGGCGGCTGGCAGGACACGCTCCATGCTGCAGTCACCGCAGCTGCTGGAAGCCCCAGGGGGGGCTGAATTCCCAGACAGGCCTGTCACTGGGCTGCTCCTGTGACCCCCCCTGCTCTTCTAGCTGGGGGGGGGTGTGTACCGGCCCCACCAGCTTGCTCTAAAGGCTCCTCCGCCCAAGCCTCCAGAATTCAGCCCCCGCCTGCTGAACGTGGCCATCTTTATTTTATTTTATCTTATTTTATTTATGTATAAAACGTATTATCTTGATTGTCCTTGATTGTTTGGCATGGCACCCCAGAGTGAAGTTCTTGTTTGTGAAAGTGCTTGGTGATAAACACACCTGATTCTGTTATCACAGGGCAGAGTGATATCCGGATTCCATTCCTGTGTACATACATACTTAAAATATTAAAAAATTCCAGTCTGGGGTTTGTGCTGGAATACTGGACCTCATGCTGCCACTTCATCCAGGTGACAGGTTGACTAGCATCCAAATGAGAAACCAATCCCGCGTGTGTGTTTGAGTGTCAGTGTTTGTTATATATTTTGTTCATGGTTTTAAATCCCCACCTGAAAATGCAATAAGCCCATATAGTGCGTTACTGTAATTTAGAGTGAGATGTGGAGCAGAGACTTCATTGCTCTCTGTAGCTCATAGACACACGCCTGAGAACCGTCCCTCGGGACGCGGCCCCTTATATCAGACCTGTCCTGAGAGATGGGAGGTCCGTTACGCAACCAGCGGTCACGACGCCGGGCTGCCGGAAGGAGAGAGAGAGGGAGGGAATGTGCCGGGGGGGGGAGAGAGAGCGCATGTATGTTAAGATGAAGCTGATTGTCCACCTGAGTATTCCTTTGGTCGTTTGGTAACATTTGCTTTTGAACAAATAGCGGTGTGATTGTGTTGACCATTTTATAATTACCCATAATGCTTTGCTCTCTTTTTATTTGGCTGAAAGATCTTCTCCAGTGACAGTCTTAGACTTTGCTTTGTGTTTTTGCCTCTTCGTCCATCTCGTACACGCTGATGTAGACAGCTGCCTATCAGACTGTCTTTAAAAGCTTATGACTTTAGCTTTATACATTAACATTCATTGCTGCTCCCTGTATAAACCTTGTCCCTCAATCAATGTTGTTATAATGAAGCTTGTAATGGCGAAAAAAACAAGTAACAGGCAGTATGCAGTCTTTCCGAAGAAACCTTTTAGTGTGAGAGGCCGGAAAGCTTGGGAGGCATGCAGGGTGATGATGGTCGCTGTTCGATGCTAATGTGATTACCGGAGACATTGCAGCCAGCTGTAGATAAAAATTGATTCGCGATTTCCGAGTGCTTTTGCTTTAACAGTCGCGGGGCGGATACTTTAATAAGAGCCGACGCTAATCTGAAGTTCTGTCGCCGGAGAGTGGGCCTTTTATCCGGAGTGTTATTTCGTGGCATTACGGGGGGGGACCCTTTCCGGTTTGTCGCACACGTGAAGCGAAGCGGGCCCGATTACGTTCGTTTTTCTGGTCTTTCTTGGGCGAGACCTTGAAAAGTCGAGGAGCCTCGCTTGGCTGATTCCATATGGGCTGTGTGAGGCTGTTGTGCGAGTCGCGGTAATTGGGGACGGCGGTCATTTTCTCCAGTGAGCCTGATATTTCCACAGACGACGGTGGAGAAGTTTTAGTCAGTCAGTCATAAGTTGCCCGCATGGTTTTCAGGTGTTTAAATAGAGGCTTTAAAGCAAGCTCAGCAGCCTAATTTTCTTCACTAATCAGGGGCTGAAAGCCTTGGTTTAGTGCCTAACAGTGACATCACTGTGCTGAGCCTAGGATTTGAACCCACAACCTTCCGCTCACTGGCACATCGTCCGTCCCCAGCATCGTTGATATCTGGATATCTGGGGCGACATGCGGTTCTGTTAAATCGGCTGCAGAACGTCATGTGACGGCATCTTGCCACTCACCGTTGTCTTCCGAGGGCGGAGGAATCGTGCGCCTAAATAATAATCGTGAAGGGCAGTGAAATGTCAGTGCGGCGATATAAATGCGTCTGGACGCGCCTTCGTCACCTTCCCCCCCATGTGCCGTCATGGATCAGCTCATCTGGGCCAACCTTAAGCCAGATGTTAGTACCTCAGTAGAAATAAGCAAATGAGCAGCTTCATTTCCATTTTTTTTTTGTAAACGGTGCAGTTTATTATGGAACGTACCAAAAGGGATCCTGGAGTGGGGGGGGGGTGACGTTGGTGAACAGGGGTGTCTCCCAGTCTCCCAAACTGGGTGCGGTCTCGTCCGATGGCGCATTCCCAGTGCCAGGGCGGGACGTAGAGCATGATCAATAAATAATGAGGGTATTAAGAGTGGAGGGGCACCAGAGAGCGCCGTGTCCTCAGAGGTGGGGTGAGGGGGGGCGGCTGTCTTAAGAAACGCCTCTTGCAGTTTTCCGAGGGAGTTCTCCCCGTCAGACTGGATCTCACTCAAGCTGAGCTTACGACGGAGGAGGAGTCTAGTGGGGGGGGGGGGCATCGACGTAGGCAGGGGTGTCCTGGCTCGTGTCTTAAACGGGGGACACTCTTCCCCAGCCGCTCAGTGGTTGGCGGGAAGGGCAGGCGGTGCTCGTCTCTCACGGATCTCCCCGCTTCAGGTAATCACTCCATTCCGACGGCTCATCCTCTGTGCGGAGAACAGGAAAGAGATGGAGGACTGGATCAGCTCCCTAAAATCCGTCCAGTCCAGGGAACATTATGAGGTAAGAGTCGCTTGCCTCGCCAGTGCTGCATGCTGCCCGTTCAAATTGGGGGGGTCGATTCGGGTAGATGCCACTAATAATACAGGACACTGATAACAGTCAGTGAGCCCCTCGCTTTCCCTGCCTGTCGCCAGTCCCTCCCTCTACGATGTCAGTTTCACGGTCGCATTGGGAATACGCCTCAGCCTAATTCCAAAGGCGCCCCCCCCCCCCCACCCCACGCATGTTATGTAAGAATCTGTCTCGTTGCATGGGGACCTTAAAAAGAGAGTGCATGACAGACCTGCATTCTTTCTGCTGTGCCTTCCCCCCCTCTGTGCAGAGTCTCTGGTAACAGGCTACTGCAGGAGGGGGAGTGCTTGTTATGACTGAGGGGGTATGGGGGAGGGGGGGGGGTCTGTGTTCAGTTGCAGAGCTGCTTAATTGCTGGATTCTACTGGGGGTGGGGGGGCGGGGGATGAATCGACTTCTGTTGTGTCTGATCTGGTGTCAGTAAATTGGATTGAATCAAAAGTCAGCATGAGGGATGTGTGCATTTATCTGACAGCTAGTTGGATAATGACGGTAGTTAAAGACCGTTAGCCGCTGAATATAGCGGTTACATATGCTCTGTTTTGACTTAAATACAAGATGTGCTAAGATTCTCTCTCCCCGAGCGGAGAAACCACACCCTAGGATCCCGGCCGAGGTCGGCACGGCCTCGCTGACGTACGGGGGGAGTCGGGCCCTTGGAGCCCTGGCGTTTGTGCGCCATCAGTGAAATTGCTTCCCCGTAGAGTCCCTCTGGCTGTGCCACAGAGTGGGTGGGACCTTAGACCCAGGTGGGCGGAGCCTTAGGCCCGGGTGGGCGGAGCCTTAGGCGCTGGTGGCGGAGCCTTAGGCCCGGGTGGGCGGAGCTTTAGGCCCGGGTGGGCGGAGCCTTAGGCCCAGGTGGGCGGAGCCTTAGGCCCGGGTGGGTGCTTCCCGAAGCCGCGGGATCGGGATCGTACGGTGTGGTCCGCTCCTGGGAGGGTCTCTGACGCATCCCTTGCACGTCGGACGGGGAGGGATGCGCCAGACGCCTCTGGTTGGATATTTCAGCTCTGTTTGACTTGCTGTTTGTAGGGCTTGGAGTTTTATCCTGGCGCCGCCAATTTGTCTAACTTCTCCTTTGCTAGACGGCACAGTTTAATGTGGAACATTTCTCAGGGATGCACAACTGGTATGCCTGCTCCCATGCCCGCCCCACCTTCTGCAACGTCTGCCGGGACAGCCTGTCGGGGGTCACCTCGCATGGCCTCTCCTGTGAAGGTAGGTGGGCGCGCTTTCCGTCGTCCGTCCGGATCCCCCCGTGTCCATCTGTTCCCCCCACAAAACATCATAACCATTTTCCTATTATCACTGGGGTGCACCTTGGATCCCCTTCCCCCTCTGCCACAGGCAGGGGTGATTCTAGAATTTTTTTAAGATGGGTGGTATTATACGGGCCAGAATTCATACAGAGGGGCCGACCATATCGTCAGCCAATCATGTGTTTCGAATCGCTGAGTGACAGGGGAGCGAGCCAATCAGCTGGGACCTGTGTCCCCATGGCACCACCCCTACGTAGGCCTATGACCACAGGTCACTCCGGAAGACTCAAATTTTAATAGAAGAATAGGAGTCCATGACTTACAGCTGCCAGGGGTTGCAGTCACTTTATGATTTGGCTTGAGATATTAATGCCTGGCACCTCTCTGTGGGCAGCTACTTTAATATATAAACCAAATGTTTAGGAATCTTTATTCATCTTCAGTCATGTTCTCTTCTCAATGTAATAGAATGTGATAAAAACCTGTTATTTTGATGTTGTGGGGACTATTTTTTTGGTCCCCACAAGGGGAAATTCAATTTTAGAAAAATCTGTGACTGCAATCAGACAACTAAAAATGCCATGATTATGGTGAGGGCTGGGTTAGGGTCAAGGTCGTCATTGTTGGGATTAGACTTTTCCCCATAGAAATGAATGGACGGTCCCCACAAAGATATGAGTACAGGTCTATGTGTATTAGTGTGTGTGTGTGTGTGTGTGTGTGCGTGCCTTTCTGCAGTACGGGGATCAGCTCTTCCTGTCCCGAACGTAATACCCACAGTGTGGTTTGTGTGCACGCATCATGCATACTGATGGCTAAAAATCATGTGGCAATATGGCACTAATTAGCAAAATGCACTGCAGATGGTGCCCATCAAGGCGTGAGAGCTATGATTAGCAGGAAGTAAATATAGCGGCGGTCACGCCGGTTTTCCTAAACCACTGGAGAGCTCCGAGGCGAGCAATGCTCCATCCGTTTGCGGGCTGTCAGCCATCTCAGGCCCGTCCGTCACATGACTGTGTGAATCCCCTCGTGCTGAACTGAAGCCAATAACAGCATAGTCTGAGTCAACCTCGGCGTAATTTTGCAAGGCGATGTTTTGTAAACAATCTTTGAAAAACATGCAGGCTTTTTTTCTTTTTTTCGAAATGGGACGGCTGACGAGATGCTGGGCATTTAGGTAGCTAAACAAAGAATCTGAGTCAAAATCTTTATTCAGTAAGGACGAAAAGTACAAATAATTTGTTTTGGTGCAGGTGGTGGCAAGATGTAAACGTACAGCCAAACATGCAATTAAGACAAAAGTACAAAACCAGTAAACGGAATAAAGGCAAAATAGAGGTAGTAAATAATGAACATGTAGGCCTAGATAATTAAATTGTTACAATCAAATATATTGCACAGACAGCTTGGGGTCTGTGCAAATGAGACAGACGCTTCACATTAATTAATTTGATGCTTTTGTCGGAAGCAGCTTACGCTTGAATGGAAGTTTCCAATTTATGTGGACTCCCTAGGATTTGAACCAACAAACTTTGTATTGCTATCACAAGGCTCTACTTGTGAAACTGTGGAAACCGCACCCGTGGGTGAAACGGTTTGCTTCTCATGGAGAACGAGGCTGATCAGGTAGCAGTTGCTCCTTGTGCTCAGGGGAAAGGAATGGAGTTATCCCCAGGGGGGAGCGATTCCTACCTGCTCATCTTCTCTTCGAGGTCTTGTGGGCGCAGATCGATAAAAATCGATGTTGAATTTGCGGTGGAGCGGAGGAGGCGGATTGGATGTTTCTCACTGTCCAATTTGGCTCGAGTTTCCTGAACTGGTTCAGCCCATTAGCCGGATGTCAAAATTGCCATTTCGCGTAACGTAATAAAATTCTGCTAATGGTGTGGCGTTTAGGGCGTGTGCCTTTTCCGGACATGGGTGTGATGTGGAATTAGTGAAAATGTCTGGCGGTCTACGACTGCAGTTGGCTTTTAAAGAGGCTGCGAGTTTGGGAATGCCGCCGTTTAACAGAGCCGGTCTGTTCCTTATGTATGTCGCTGTACGCGGTCCGGCTCGGTTCAGTATGTTCCTGTATGCTCAGCGGGAGACCTGGCTCAGAAATGGCTGTGTTCCCCGGAGCCTGGAAGCTGTGTACTCTTTGCCCCTCCCCCCTACAGGTACAAACACGCTGTGATTCCGAGTGGGGGGGGGTGCTCAGTCAGACCTATCGCTTCCCCTGCTGCTCGTCTGCGGCGTGCTAATTAGCGGTGTTACTGCAAATCCTTCTAATCCGTCTGAATTTTGGACGTCCGCAGTCTGCGGAGTCAGTATTAAGGGTTTAGGTTGTGCTTCGTTAGGATTTGACCAGCGCTGGGGAGGCAATGAGCCTTTTTCCGGGTAAAACGTGGCCACCCGCAGTGGTGAATTAGAGGCTTGCAGCACGTTTAACCAGTGACTCGGGGGGCGTTTAGATGGCCAGGATGGGGGGGCCCGGCCAGGATGGGGGGGGCCCGGCCAGGATGGGGGGGCCCACCCACCCGTGCTGCCGAGGACAGTCCTCTCAGGCACCCTCCAGCCAAATTAATGTTCTTAATCTCATCCCATGTCCATTCGCTGCCTGAGATCCAGCCAAAACGATGGGTGTGGTGAATGGGGGGTGGGGGGTGGCTGAGAAACGTCCCCCCCAATATTAAATTTGGCTTCATCTGTCTCCCCAATAAATAGACCTTTAATAAAAAAAATTTTATGAATCAACCTTTGATTTAAATTATGTGTCTCTCTCAATGTCAAACGCTCTCCTATTCCACTGGACAGGGTTTAGAGTTTGTGGATCATTTTGGGACCATATCATAGTTGATTGTTTCCTAATGGAAGAAGCTAATTCAAATCAGAAATTAAAACACACACACACACACACATCTTTATGTCGCTTCAGGCCCATGAATAAGACAGCAACAGCGAGCAACTCCGCTCTGTTTTCTCACACCTCAGACCCAAGCTGGCAAAGAAACATTAGAAGGAGCCAGTTCATTTATTTCCCCTGTAAATTATCCTGGCGGGGCCTGTGTCCTCTCCGTTTGCGTGTCCAGACACACTCTTTCTCCTTTTAAGGGCTGATATAACTTTACATTAGCACTTTGATTACATACTCTATGCGTTCCGCTTCTCTCTAATGTCCACGTTTTATAAAACACATGCCAAATGTCAGGAGCGTCCGACTCATCTTGGCGAGATTGGAATCGGCCCTTCGGAGCTTTTAAGCCATAAAGCCTGTCATTTCCCCCCTTTTTTTATTCTGAGTTTCCTGGATGCTTGCCTCCCTGTCCTCTTTCTGCTACTTGCTGTAGTGATGCTCGCGACATCCTCGCTTCATCTGACATCACGTCGCATGTAATGCTTTTCCGTTGTATTTGAGGCTTGTTTGAAATGGTGTAATGCAGTCCTGGGTGCTGGTTGGTCTCACAGACCTGTCCCAGGGTAATGCAGGGCAATGATCGCTGCCTGTCCTTAAAGAAACAGGCACCTGGCAAAAAGAGTGACAAAGGAATGAAATTCGTTTGCTTCTCAGTCTGATTAACTTGATGCAGTGGGATGAGAAGGTTAAAACTTCCCTATATTATAAAAGCAGCAGTTTAACTTGTACACCAAAGGAGGGACATGGACAGCCTGACAGATTCAGGGGGCCCAGTACTTTATTGGGGCCCCAAATTCTATTGTAGGCCCTCCCTGCTCTGTGAAATGTCTTTTCTGGGGGCCCAGAATGACTAGCCACACCCCTTTCTGCCCTGCGTGTTTTAATGCTTTACTACAGCAATACGGGACACATTGTGGACTTAAGCCCCCGATTTTTTTTTTTCTTGTTAAAGTCTGCAAGTTTAAAGCCCACAAGCGCTGTGCCGTTAGGGCGACAAACAACTGCAAATGGACAACGCTGGCCTCCATCGGGAAGGACATCATCGAGGACGAGGATGGAGTGAGTGAAGGCGCCCGCATTGTGCTGTCCGGATCCCCCCCCCTCCCCCGGGGCCCCTGGCCTCTCTCATGCCGTGTATGTGTGTGTTTGTGTGTACCCATGTTGTGCCGTCCGAACCCCCCCTGTGGGGCCCCTGACCTCTCTCACGCGGTCCGCAGATCGCTATGCCCCACCAGTGGCTGGAGGGGAACCTGCCCGTCAGCGCCAAATGCGCCGTGTGCGATAAGACGTGCGGGAGCGTGCTCCGGCTGCAGGACTGGCGATGCCTCTGGTGCAAGGCCATGGTGAGGCCCCTGTCATGTGACCGCCCATCACCCAATCTGCCGTCTTACTACAGTGAATATATATTATTGTTCAAATTGCCTAAATCTCTTTATGGGTTCAGCTGTTCTTACCGCAGGGGGGCATGCATATATTTGATGGATTCCTTGTAGTATTAATAACGATGTGTGTTTTATTAAATTTTTTATCAAGTATTTTATTTAACGTCTTTTAACATTTCAGTTTTATTAGATATATTGATATTTATCTGTCTGTTTATTCATTCATTTCTTTCTGCATTTATTCATGTATTTATCAATTCATATATATTTGTATATCTGTTTTTATCTGATTCCTGAGTATTTTTTGATTGACCCTGGTTCTTGCCGCCTGATAGCTATAGATGCTGAGAAGGTGTTTACGCATTTAGGTACCTGCCTATGATGAGGGCAGTTCAGGTTAAGCACCCCATTTAACTGGCTAAACTCCATCTGCCCGGACAGGTGCATACAGCCTGCATGGACCTGTACCCCCGCAAATGTCCACTGGGCCAGTGCAAGGTGTCCATCATCCCGCCCACAGCCCTCAACAGCATCGACTCGGACGGTACGCCCCCTGCTGGCCCTCAAATAAAACGCACCGCTTCTCACAGAAGTATATTGTACATCTTAGATGAAATGAAAGTGAAATGCCATTTGCACAAATACACGCACCGGAATTTTTTTTGCATCTTCCTCTCCTTTGAGTCATACAGACAGGGGCGTAGGAACCGGGGGGGCGGGGCATATCGCCCTAGTATTTAATGCGGTTATGATTAGAAGGTCATGGGTTCGAATGTCATGGCTGGCAGACCGGTGCTGCCGTTGGGCCCTCGTGAAGTGCCCTCCTGGGGTACTGCACCCTAACTGAGCCTGTGCTGTGACACCCCCCCCCCCAACTTGCCCTTTTCATTTTCCATAATTTACTATTGTTTATGTGCTGTATAGCATTGTTTCAGTTTGGGGGCTTGCTCTCATCTGTATATGTGTCTCATGATGAGGAAGGTAGGCCAAAAGACAATTTCCCCACAGGGAATGAATGAAGTATTGCTGTTCTGTTAAATAGACCTTTGCATTTAAATTATTATGTTGTGCCGCCCCCCATATAAACTTGGGAACGAGGCCTGGGGGCCTGGGGGCTGCCATTTATCCCTCTGCCTCTGTAGCATTTGCTAATGACGCCCAGCCGTACTCGGACCCACGTTTGTAAGGGGTCGCGATCTGTGTGAGGGCTGCATTTCTCTGAGTCTCCTTGTGTCTTAATTACAGAGTCGAAGGTTGTGGGGTCGACTCCCCGAGGTCTCTGCTTGCTCCATTAGTTTTACAGTGAAGCTTTTCAGCAAAAGATGAAGAACGGTCTGTACGTGTGTTCTCACAACTAGTAAAAATAGCAGCTGTCGCAGCATTGATGGTGAAACACCCCCCGCCCCTCCACAGATATTAATCTACACATGGATCTTATTATGTGCTGTTGGCTCCGCATGGCGTTTGTGCCGCCGTGTTCCAGTAATAACTCATGGCACTGGGGTGGTTATTGACAGTTGGATAAGCGTGCTATTTTAGGCAAAGGTTTACACGTTCTAGGCGGGCGCTGAGGACTAACAATAGCACCGTGGCCCGTCCTGCCTGCCTCGATGTTGCCGTCTTTCTGTCAGTCGCTCGTCCGAAAACCCGTGGGAGAGCGGCTGGACTTTAATTAGAGAGGGATGTACCGGACGAGTTAGGAGAAAAAAAAACAAACGAGCAACAAAAATAGGCTTTATATCGATAGTGTCTGAAGTTGATTCAGATATCGGCTCCAGTACCAACGTATTGTGATGCTACACGTGTGAGGAAAGGAGTAAACAAGGGGAATATACAGAAATGATTACGATCGGACATGGAGGTGAGCGGCGGGGGGGTGGCTGTTTGCCGATGGATACCCCTCCCGCAGGCTCGCTCCTTATTATCAGCAATCGTGTATGTGGAATCGCCCCCCCATCCCCCCCACCCCCGGGGTCAACAGCGCCTCCTGATTGGTTGGCCAGCAGTTGTGCGGCACATGCTGGGACTTGGTGACAAATGTCTGCCTGCTAGCTGTGTCTTCTCAAGGTCTGCCACCCTCCCCCCCCCCCCAAAACATGCTGCCCCCTCCCTACAAAACATACTCTTTGATACCCTGAGAAATATCAATCATCTACCTATAAAGACTGACGTACAGAGGCAAAGGTGTGTTTGGCACATTCATGCAGGAAAAGCTCATATTTCTGAATGAAAAATGCACAGACCGTTACAGACGGTGTTTGTGCTCATGAACACTTTTATTTTCTTTTCATTTTCTGTCCATTGGTAGTAAAAAGATTTGTCTTTCATTACAGAGGGGAGAACGTTGGTTAATTAGCAATAATTTCCCATGTTAATTTGTCTTGGGTGTGCTCGTCATACTTTGCTGTTTTATTCCTCCTTCCATTTTTCTGCCTTTTTTTTGGCTACAATGCAGCACATTAGCAGCGTATTTCGTGTTGAATAGGTTCTCATATTGAGAACCCGGCTGCACAAAAGCCTCATTAACATGTCTCCCATTAATTATGAGTATCTGAAGGAGCTATTAAATTACCGAAACGTCTCGTATCGCTCTCGGGCTGCCGCCGCTTGAGGCGGGCTGAGCTTAGCAAAACAGCCATCAATAAACTGCACGTTCAGCCCTGCGCTAAATGCTCTCTGTTCTTTGCGGCGCGGCTCTGTTACGCATTACACTTGCATGTGTTTCAGATTATCCTGTACAGCACCTGGTGCTGTAAATGCGATCCGTGACATTTCCACTCATTAATCCCTTAAATTAAAGGCTGCTTGGAGGTGGACCCTTCTTAGAAATTCGGCCCTGATGTCACTCATCTGACCACCAGTGTGTGGAACGTCTGCCTTTTTAAATTTTTGTTATTTGCTAAGAGTTCCGATTTCCCGCAGGCTTCTGGAAGGCCACCTGTCCTCCTTCCTGTGCCAGCCCACTCCTGGTCTTCGTCAACTCCAAGAGCGGCGACAACCAGGGGGTTAAGTTCCTGCGGCGCTTCAAACAGCTCCTCAACCCTGCTCAGGTCTTTGACCTGGTCAATGGCGGCCCTCACTTAGGGTGAGCAGAAAGCAGTCGTTTCAGTACCTGCTCCACCAATCCTCCAGTGTAAAACAAATAAAGTTTTATTTATGTTCAGCACTGCGACGCTGTTGAATTCGCAAATTCAATTGGTCAGAAGAGTGTTGATTCATTTTCTATATACGCACATGTAGTGCCAGCCAGGTGAATCATAGTGGTCCCTTATAATACGCTATTATAATATTTCATTCTAATTAATGTGACTTAAAATTCCAGACATAGAACACAATTTAAAATTAACGGTAAATAAACTGAAATGTATAATCATTGGTGGGAGAAAGTAGTTCTACAGCTAATCGTGGTATACTTGGGTAAATTCACTCCAAGCGGTGCTGTATACATTTTTAAACACGTCGGTGGTTCTTTGCCTCCGCAGCTCTGTGTTTAAAAAGGTATAATGTACGTCTTGTTGTGCATTAACCCTTACTTGAATAATACATGATCATTCTTAATTCATTGTTTAGAAACAGTTGGGTATTGTTAAACATAAATACTCAAATTTTCACTGATCTTCTCTCCTTCTTTCATAGCCTGCGTCTGTTCCAGAAGTTCGACAACTTCCGGATCCTCGTGTGTGGAGGAGATGGCAGCGTGGGCTGGGTCCTGTCTGAAATCGACAAGCTCAGCCTCCACAAGCAGGTAGGGGGTCCGCTGCGCCGCGACCGCCGGGCCGCCTGTTGGGGGCGACGTTGAGGCCATCGCTTGAGCCGGCTCCGTGTGCTCTCGCCCGTTGCAGTGCCAACTGGGCGTGCTGCCCCTGGGTACGGGGAATGACCTGGCACGGGTGCTGGGCTGGGGGCCGTCCTGCGACGATGACGCCCAGCTGCCGCAGATTCTGGAGAAGCTGGAGAGGGCCAGCACCAAGATGCTTGACCGGTATGTTTGCCAACCACTATAAAATTGTTCCGTTTATTCAGTACCTATTTGTTTGTTTTTTTGCTTTATCTAAAGCAACATACATACCTACATATTCTACCTATTTCTGTAACTGGATAGCCAGAAAAACCCTTTATTGAAATTGTTCAAAGGTACAACACTGGTTCCGTTCCTGCCTTCCCCAGCGCTGCGTTTTAGTCAGCTGACCCACGAGCTGCTTGCCTGCTTTGACACCAGCTTCCCCCATATTATACCCCAGTTCCTCATTGCTGCATGTGAAGTTTTGCTGGTCTTGATGCCAGCAGTGTAAGATCCGGGTTGCATGGAGTAACACCAAGTCCTGGTTGCTCCACCAGCATTAGCCGCGGATGCAGCTGTTGGTGCCGACAGTTACTCTCCTCATTTGCAGGTGGAGCATAATGACCTACGAGATTAAGATACCTCCCAAACACAGCTGCCCCGCCACACCAGAGGACATGGAGGAGAGCCAGGTACCATCACCCAAACCTGCGTCTGGGCTATCATCATCTGGGCTATCATCACCTGGGCTATCATCACCTGGGCTATCATCACCTGGGCTATCATCATTTGACTTATGCAATGTAACCAGGCTAGAGGGGCCCACCCATGATCAGAGCCAAAAATACCAAGGGGGGGCCCCATTCCTGGGTGTAATGCCCCCCCGCTCTTTATGTGATCGTTTCAAGTAGCTGTCTTGCTATCATCATTTGTGGTGGGGGGGTCCCTGGTTTAAAAAAAAGATTGAAAACTGCTCTGCCCTACAAAAGACAAGGGCAACAGTGAAGCTGAGGAAAAGGCTGTTTTGTCTTGATTTTAGATAGTTATTCTCTTCCTCAGCACCTCCCATAGCTGAACCTAGATATTTTGTCATGAGATAAAACAGAGCCTTAGCAACCAGATTTTGATTATAACTCAATTTCAATAAAATATGCAGTTATGTAGCTTTCAGAAAACTGTTGTTCTAAGTATTAGGTATTTAGTCTTTATGAATTCCTTGATCACTGGGTGTGTTTTCTGAGCCGCCCGTATCCGTGTGCCGTGACGCCCCCCCCCCCCTCTCGTGTGTGCTGTGCTCCAGCAGGTCCAGATATCCTCTTACGAGGATTCAGTCGCTACCCACCTCACCAAGATCCTGAACTCGGACCAGCACTCCGTGGTCATCTCGTCCGCCAAGTGGGTCCGCCGCGATCACGCCTACAGAAAGTGCCCTGGGCTGTGGGGGGAGGTTTGCCAGCTCACCCGCTCTCTGCTCCTTTACTCTAAGGGTGCTTTGTGAGACGGTCAAGGACTTCGTTGCCAAAGTCGGAAAGTCGTACGAGAAAGCCACGGAGAATACAGACGAGGCTGAGAGCATGTCTGTGAAGGTGAGGGCGGCGTCCCAGGCTGCAGTCGGCATTAGCCAGTAGTATAGCAGCTAAAGGCACAGACTCGGAACCAGAAGGTTCTCGGTTCATTAGTGCTGCAACTCAGATCCAAGCGACATATGAAACCTGAGTTACTCCTGTATTAATATTCAGACGATCATTTGCAAGTCAAAGTCAGCTAAGCAGTTTTGGAAAATTGCTTCTATAATTGTCATTACTACTAATAATAGCGATAGTTATAATGTCATCATCATAACAATGATAATGATAAACAATCGTGGAACAGACGCTCTTCTCATTTAGTGGCTTCTTCAGTTAGGTACCATTTGCCAATATGACGGTAATAAAAAAAATTATTTTCTGAGAAAATTTTGGACGCTTGGCAACGACTCGTGCTGGCGTGAGAGAGATCTCTGAAGTAGAATGTACAAAATGTTGTTAAAAATGTCCACTTCTTAAAGAAACTGAGTATAAAAAGCTAAAGTAAAGTCGTAAGCACAGTCACAGTCATGTCTAGGGGACCATGATTAACACATAGTGACCATTTTGCTTAATGACGTGGCTGTTGGGACGGATCTCAGTCTCTAACAAGGAGCGATTGTGTTACAACATGGAGGCTTGACAGTGCTCTGTGTTATGGAACAATATTTGGCACTAAGGCTTGTTTATTTTAAATGTTAGTTTCCTGTTTTATTCTTACATTCTTATATTTTTGTTCTGTGCCTGCTAAGGCTGTATGGGCCTCTTTGGCGTGACGCATCCTTGGTTCTCCACAGTGTGCCATCCTCAACGAGAAGCTGGACTCGCTCCTCCAAACCCTCCAAGTGGAGGCCCAGGCCACGGCCCTGCGCGGCACGCCGCCCATCGTGGAGGAGGACCCAGAGGAGGTGCAGGAGCTGGAGGACCACAGCGAGGAGTCCCTGACGGAGCTGAAGGAGAAGCTGGAGGGATCCCCGCACAAGATCTTCAAAGCCAAAGAGCAGCTCATGCTTCGGGCCAATAGCTTGAAGAAGGCAGTGAGGCAGATCGTCGAGCAGGCAGAGAAAGGTGAGCGGCGGCACCGGGAGGCGATGGGGTTTGTGTATCGGAATTGAGTTCAATGAGGAAATGTGTGGCGGGGTGTGGGGGAGGGGCCTGTCACATGATCAGGACAAAGGTGGAAAAAGAAAAAAAAAAATAGGACCCATGGCCCTTTAAGACCTACTGAACAACTTTATTTAACAGGCACCTTTACCCAAAGCAGTACACATTTTTATGAGGACAGGGTCAGATGACTCCTGAAGCAAGTGGGAATTGACCTGAACCCACAACCTTTCAATCAGCAGCACAGCATTTAATCTGCTGACCCACACAGCACCCCGCTGTTTGGGCTTCAAACCCGTACCACCATGACATTGAAATCGCTGCAGCCGTCGGCCTGACATCACTCCTCAGCTTCCCTGGATTTTCCCCCCCACGCCACCCAGCTGGCCCTGCTTGGTCTAGCTGCCTCCTTAAACAGAAATCAGGTTATCTGCTCTGATTTATTAGCGTTCCATCCCCAAAGCACCTCCGTCTCACACAGATCACAGGACTAAAATAAGGGACAGGGCTGCTGTCTGAAAGTTTCAGTCTAATACATGAAATTATTACTGAAACATGGTAATTGGCCAAAACGCGGGGTGGTTTCAGTCACGTTGGCTCTCTGGTTCTCAGCGGCGTGGGTGAGGTGCGAGCGATGCCCGGAGGCGTAAAGAAAGCTGCCAGCACGCTCTGCCAGAAAAAACGCTGCGGCCCAGATTTGCAGCCCCCTCATCCTCCCCCCGAACCGTGTGACATTTAGGACGTTCCAAGAGGGGTCGGCGCTATTTACCCTTATGGGGTCAGGAAGACAGAGACAATATTTTCCTGGGGGAAAGAAAAAAACATCTCAAAATGCATTTGCAGCATGACAGTAACGGGCCAGGCTGTGGGAGGCATGTGAATCTAACCTAGTGGGATTTTGGAGAAACTCCTCCACGTTTCTGCACCCCAGGGGAGAGTGAGAGTGAGAGTGAATGTCAGGACGGGTAACGTTTACCTTAAGGTGCACTTAGTCCCTCTGAAAACCTCTCTTTTGGGACAAATGCCATTTTTACGAAGGGATAACGAAAGTGCCGTGAAGTCCGAAAGAAAACGGAAAGTAGTGACGGTGTTTCTGAAACGATAGCGTCCTGTTCTGGACTCACGCAGCCACTGAGTCAGCGGACGTGTTGAGGGCTGGCTAAGCGGTTGAGCTGCGGTGTGCTTACCCCCCCCCCCCCCACAGTCGTGGATGAGCAGAACGCTCACACTGAGGAGCTGCAGGACCCTCAGTCCCCGGCGGATTTCCGGAAGGAGAGCGAGGAGGAGGACAAAGACAACGAAAAGGATGAGGACACCAAAGAGCTGGAATCTCAGTCTTGTAAGCCCCCCCCCCCCCTTCTGGTACCTCACCCTGGGCTCAAAAACACTACCTTATAAAGGAGAGATCGACTAAGTCCACCAAAGCAGTGATGTAGATGACCGAGAAACTTACTGCACTTTGTCATTTACAGCGAATAGGTATCATGCCATGTTTTGGAACAACTACTGCCACCTGCTGGTATTTCTGAAGTAAAGCGCTAAGATAAAAACAGGCACATGACATTATACTTTTATATTAATCATGCAAAACAATAAAGACAAGGGCTGTATGGTGACGCAGCTGGTTGTAGGGATGCAGTGTCAAATCCAGCCCCGGTTCTCGCGTTTGTCTTGGACCAGTGCTATTTGTGATCGGGACCTCTCGTGAAGGTGCAGAGGGATGCAGGACACCAAGTCATAACCTGTAGGTTGCTTGTTCGCGTACCCTTGACTTCTTGATTTCTAGGAGTGCGTAGTGCTTCCAGAGTCCCAACAGCCCAGATGAATCAACCACTGCATGTGAATGTGATTTTAAGTTATCCTGACTTTAAAATTTAGTCAAAATGTGAATGGTCTGCAAGTTTTTGAGATAAAAGACAAACTGTATATAAGGTGTTGCCATTTACTCATTTTCACCTCTGATCTTCTGCTTCCTGTAGTGTTGGTTTGCTTTGTACTTCAGTCATTTCGTTAATGAGCTGTTTGTGTGGAGGGGAAAAATGCTCTTTAATGTATGGCGGTCTCAGAAAATACCACAGCGACATCAGTGTTTGCTAGATCTCGCAAGTGTCCTGTACGTGACGCTGATTTGAACACTTTCAGATACCTTCATAAACATCGAGTGTTAGTGTTGACACGCGCTGGTTTGATTTACAGCACCAGTTACCTTCGCTCCTCGAGTCGGACGTGATTTCCAGCATATCTAAATATGAGTTGGTGTTCTGAGTCAGCGACCGCCTGTTTTCATTTATAGAACGTGGCATTGTATGTGTTGCAGTGGTACTTCCTGTTTATGTGGTTTCCTGCTTCCTCCCCGTCCCCCCAGAGGAGAAGCAAAGGCTGTTTTTGCAGCCTGCTGGCGTCCCTGGCTATTCCCGCTTAATTTCAGGCAGCTGTTGAGTCTCCTGCTTCTTCGCTTTGTTTCTGCCCCGTGGACCGAGGGAACAAGAATCAAATTTCAGCTATGCCAGTTCATGGCACTTCATGGCGCGTTCGTGGTTTAGGTTGACCATCCACGACTGTAGCAGGTGCTCCATTTAATCCTAAAGATCTCAGTCTTAATCTCGCCTAATGTGAAGGGTCACCCCTACCTGATGTGATCAAGGCTGAAAGTGAAAGTCATGAGGGTTTGTTAAACTAAGAGGGTAAGCCTTAGGTGTAGGCCTGTGTCCAGAAGTGTAGGAAAGAGCTTGATATTGGCAGAACACAACTTAACTGAAATACAAAGGCATGTTTAATGGAGTTCCTATGGGTCCTATAGCAGTTGGCATAAAAGCACAATGATGGAACTGTCAGCTGATATATGTAAGTTCTCATGGACTTTTTGGAATGCTGCTCACGAATATCTTCTATATGATGCTGCTTTGATCTTCTGTACGGTGCTGATGATCATGTTTCCACCCCACCCCCAATCAGCTAAGACGACGACGCCGTGCTCCCCCCCGGAGAGAAGGCTGAGCCGGAGCACCCAATCCTGTGGCTCCTTCTCCATGCCCCCCTTCACCACCAGCAAGGAGAATCTACCTGTGCTCAACACACGCATCATCTGCCCTGGTACCGCAACACACACGCCGACACACTCCTAACACCCGCCTGCCCAGAGACAATAGTGTGCTCGAATTTCCCCTTGTGGGGACCAATGAAATGGGCCCCAAAATATCAAAATAAGAAGGTTTTATCATATTGTGGAGACATTTCGTCCCCCAAATGTAATGTATATTTGGACCACACACACACACACACACACACACACACACACACACACACACACAAATCTTCTGCTTCAAGCTGCAGCTATTCACTTAAAACGGCATGTCTGCACTGCACGATAAGATGATACATCTTTATTCATCGTCTTCTATTCATTTTCGTAATCAAAAGCCATTAATTATGATCAGTATTATTGAGCTGAGCTCAGCTAGCTAAATTATTTCTTTTGCATGTTTAGCTGCAGTAGCTATATTAATTTTTCTAATTACTTTTTAATAGGTGTCGATAATACACGATAATAGCAGTAATTAATGACCTTGATGAACATGCAGTGCATGACCCTCTGGTTATCGAGGGTCCTTGAGTCTCTAGTTGGACGTCTGCCGGCTTGACGTCAGTTTGGGTCCCTTTGCCGGCAGGCCTGCGAGCTGGTCTGGCTGCGTCCATCGCCGGGAGCTCGATCATCAGCAAGATGCTCCTGGCCAACATAGACCCATTTGGAGCAACACCATTCATTGACCCAGATCTTGACTCTATGTAAGAAACTTTACAGTGTAGTGTGTGTATGTATGTGTAAAGCCTTGATGACATCAGCGATGGAATGATATTGCCTTGTGGCAAACGTGGCGTTCTCATGCTTGGCTAAAGAAGAGTAATGTAATTTATTCCCTGCAAAATGATTGGTCGTTTTATGGTTGAATGTCTTCTCCTCCATTTGTCCTTTTCTCATAAGCCATTAAGAACTTAAGTGTTAAGAGTATCCATGCTACCTTACCTCACTCAGGGACGGCTACCTGGAGAAGTGTGTCATGAACAATTACTTTGGCATCGGACTAGACGCCAAGATCTCCTTGGAGTTCAACAATAAGCGGGAGGAGCATCCTGAGAAGTGCAGGTGCGACGGCGTTTGGCTTTGCCCTCCCGTTTGTGTTAACATAATACTGCACGGGTCCTGATCACAGAGGCTGATTTCAGATTTCATCTGGCTAAATTTAGCTGTTCCATTTATCCAGCATTTGGACTGAGTAAATATCCTCCTGAGATCCAGCAGTTCATTTCTGTCCTCTGTACAGGACAAGTTTTTGCTCATATATCTCTCGCACTACACATTCCACTCTATATAATGTCCTGTTGTTCCTTAAGGAGGAAAATTAGGACTTTAAGATGGCAAAAAAAAAACCCTTTTTCTGGATTTCAGGAGTATGTGAAAGTTATTCCGGAATTTTCCTCTCTTGCCTAGGAGCCGTACCAAGAACATGATGTGGTACGGGGTGCTGGGCACCAAAGAGCTGCTGCAGAGGACCTACAAGAATCTGGAGCAGAAGGTCCAGCTGGAGGTGAGATGTGGATTCGATTTTACGGTCCGCTACACTTCCTATGGCTCCCTGTAACATGTCGTGTTAATCCAGGTGAAGGTGGGACGACTCAGTGGTGAAAAAAACACACAGTGATCAAAGGCATTGGCGTCTGCCAGTAGGCGGACGATGGAGGCCGTCCAATCCCATCCGCCATGCTTGCCCAACAGTGATGTCAGGTGCTCAGTGTTTCTCTGCCGCTGCTGTTTTTCAGTGCGATGGCCAGTACATCCCCCTCCCCAGTCTCCAGGGAATCGCCGTGTTGAATATTCCCAGTTACGCCGGTGGCACTAACTTCTGGGGTGGGACCAAAGAGGATGACGTAAGTGTGCGTTCGGGAGCCCGGCAGCCATGTTCGCCGCCCCCGTTTCCTGTGGTGCCTTCAGGCTAACGGATCTAGAAATTTAGAATCTCGAGCCATTCTACGTTCGAGTTTATTTGCTAGAGTCCAGTTTCATTAAACATCTCACAGGGGTCTTTGATTTTTGTTGCTCGTCATTTATAAACACAGCATTTCTTACTGGAGACCAGTAGTGCACTGCCTTTTCTCAAATACTAGGCTTCTGTTTGGAGGCCTTGACTGAACCTAGTGGGATGCCTCACAGTTGAGTGCGAGGGACCAGGCTTGCTGCAGGGTGTTTATCTAAGGACTCCGGTGGCTCATCTGGAATAAACTGATCTTCCACGGCTCGGGCTGAGCCACATGGCTCATATTGCATTTCGGGGCACTATTGTTTCCTCCCCACGCCGCGCCAACCAGGAATGTCAAGGTCAGGCGGGCAGGCTGGCTGCGCTTCCTGGCGGGGTCTGACGTGCCAGGTGGCTGGGAGCCTCTGCTCGCCAGGGACGTAACATGCCGGTTAAACACATTTGTAGCCAAAGGCCTGTTGATCCAGATCCCTTGAGCTTTTCTATTGTGCCCCAGAGCCAACAATTGTCTATTCACCCAGTCAATACCCATTGTACAAATGAAGAGTCGCACAATAGTAACAGCTGGATGTAAAATCCATATTGTTACTCCAGTGTTCGCTTCTCTGTCCTGTGTGATGCCGTGGCAGAGGGGATTTCGGCTGCCTCCTCTGTCCGTGTTGCTAAGTGCATAAATCTGATGCTTTAAGGGAAGGACTCCTGTCTCATTGCTGCATGATAGCAAAGGGCATATGAGGTGAAATGACACTTTATTTGGCCATTTTACATGGAAAAAATACAGATACGCAGTAGTCTGCTAGCTTTCGCATATTCGTTCTTGCCCTCCTATGAGACACACTGACGCAGGTGAGACTGAAGTTTGGGTATAAGTGCAAGTCAGCCATTTATCCAGCGCCCCCTGGAGCAATTTTTGGGATTTACAGCCTCCATTGGGTATTACAGATAAACAAATGCATATGTTTAACAGGACAGTCCATCTCTGGTTGGAGGCCATTTATTCTGTCCTAAGAACAACAGGGTTCTAGAACAAACAGTAACTTTGCCACACAACATTAAATAAATGCCCTTCTTGTGCCCTCTAGTGGACACCTCATGATAGAATTCCCAATCATTCTCTTACTTATCTGTTGATTGAATAAATGGAAAGATTATAATTGTACTAAAGGAAAAAAAAATGAAGATTATGTATCATTAAATAAGGGTTTTATTAATTTAACTTAAGATTGCAGTAACATTGTTTATTCCTCAAATGATCAAATAAAGGATTTTCCATTACCTTCCATGATAGGTCGTTGCTCAATTTGGGTGGATGCAGTTGGAAAAGTATTCATTAATCAAGCCTTAATGTTGGCATAATTTGAATTGTGCCTTTCATTGGAGAGCTCAATCAAGACTAATTAAACAATTATGTGTAGCTGGAAGAGAACGCAGCATACACTCTGGGTCATTAAGGCTAAATTAGGAAATCCTCATCTGAAGATATCAGCTGTGTAGAAAAACATCAAGGAAGGATGACTGCTGGCATTGAAATCAGTGATTTGTGTACATGCTTACGTTGTAGTTGTTTTACTACTTACACCTACACTGGGGGCTTCGCTCCTCTCCTCAGATCTTTTGTGCGCCCTCGTTTGACGATAAGATCTTGGAGGTGGTGGCCGTATTCGGCAGCATGCAGATGGCCGTCTCCAGAGTCATCAAACTCCAGCATCACCGGATCGCCCAGGTAAGCTCTGGCCCGTCCTCCACTTAGCATTGCTGTGTCGATGGTGCTGACGTCTTGCCCGTCCCTGCCCTCCAAGTGCCGCACGGTGAAGATCACCATCCTAGGAGATGAAGGTGTGCCCATCCAGGTGGATGGTGAGGCCTGGATCCAGCCCCCTGGGGTTATAAAGATCCAGCACAAAAACCGGGCCCAAATGTTGACGCGGGACAGGGTAAGCGGTGCTCTTGGGCTCCCTCTATGGGTGAGGGCTGTTTTTGTGTGTCTGCCTATATGTGCGCGGTGTACCTCCTCCTGTGAGCGTGTGTGTGTGTCCACAGGCCTTTGAAAACACCCTCAAGTCCTGGGAGGACAAGCTGAAGTACGATAAGCCCCCCCTGCGGCCGCACCTCTACCCCCAGCAGTCTGTCGACCTGGCAACAGAAGAGGAAGCCGCGCTCATCCAGATGTGCGCCCGTGCCGCTGAGGAGCTCATCACCAGGTAACGCCCCCACATCCCATAATATGAGGTTAGTGTCTTTGTGTGGGCGTGGCTACTAGAATGATCTCTGACCCCAAACGTGTTCATTCCCGCCGGCAGGATCTGTGAGGCTGCCAAGACCAATGGGCTCCTGGAGCAGGAGCTGGCCCACGCCGTCAACGCCTGCTCCCACGCCCTCAACAAGACGCACCCCAAGTTCCCTGAGGTGAGGCCTTACACGGAGGCCAGTCCTGAATCGGTATCTTTTCGGGTATTACCCCTGTATGCCTCTTTATCCTTATGGAGATTTTATGACATCGTGGAGATCTTCTGAGGTCTATGCTGGGATGGGGTAACTGGTTGATTGCTTTGTTTTCTGTCGTTCTCCTCAGAGCCTGACCAGGAACACGGCCATCGAGGTGGCCAGTAATGTCAAGGCCCTGCACAATGAGACAGAATCGCTGCTGGTGGGCCGGGTGTCACTGGTGAGTACGGTCTGCTCTCTGCTGCCTCCACTGGGCCAGCAAGCCAGTTTCGGTGCAGCAAGGAAAACAGAATTTGTTCTGAGATTATTTATTATTAAAACTGCAAACACAATTAGGCTAAGCTGTAAACAAAGGCAATGCGTTTGTTGACGTGTCTGATTAAAAACACCTATTTCTTTTCATATTGTTAAAAAAAAAAACATCTTCTGTAACCCCTATACTGGGTTGCTGGGGGGTTTGTAGAGCAGAGAGGAGCTCAGGATGGGGTGCCAACCCATCGCAGGGCACACTCACACACTGTTCACACTCACACACTGTTCACACGTGGGCAATTTGGTAACTTCAGGTAACAACAGCATGTTTTTGGACTTTGGAGGGAGACTGGAGGAACCCCTACAGGAAGAACATGCAAACTCCACACACGGAACACCGGCAGGGACTGGAACCTTGGTCCTAGAGATGTGAAGCAACAGTGCTAATCACTGTGCCACCATGCCACCCTTATACAGCAGTATATAAAATAAATTAAAAAATCGAAAATATAAGAATAAAACATCAAAATCATAATGTACTAAATATCAGACTCTCTACAACTGAGTATTGTCTCCTATCTGCAGCTAAATTAGCTTAATTGCCACAGGGAGACTAACTTGCGGAGGCTGTTTATGCTCTGCTCCAGTTGTCCACACTCCCAGATGATGTCACCACAGAAGAGTTTGCATGTCTGCTTGTGTTTTAAGCAACATGTCCAAATTCCATACCTCGATGGATAGTCCTGGTCTTATCAAGTACTCTCTCTCTCCAGTGTTGGTGCAATTTATCAGGAAACCAAAATGATTCCAAAATGCCGATTACCAGTGACTGACCAGCATTATCTGTAACAAACTCATAACCACAATTAGCGTAATGTTTTCTATGTTGAACATCTACATGTGAATTTAGGTTCTGCCCGTGTCAGTAAATGTATTCATTCATTTCATTGTGTGTACCAAACCGAAAACGATGCACTGAATGTGTGCTGAGAAATTGTGCTGTGCAGCTACTTCCACCACTCTGCTTGAATTAAAGGAATTAAATTTAATTTAATTAATTTAATCTCTTTGCAACATCAACGATGCCGTGCTGGAGAAGTTGCAGTGAATAATATTACCGGTTGCACCACAGTCGTTTATTTGGGCCATCATGTAGATTGATGTACTTGAGGGGTGTATATTTGTTTGTTTGTTTGTTTGTTTATTTATGCATACAACATATAATTATTGCCACATTAGATCAGGGCTCTCCAGCTATTTTTCCCAGAGGGCCAGATTCCATCAGCAACACAAGCCAAGTTCCACTGAGTCCAAAAACATTTGTCAGCTAAGTTGGATGTTCTCTGATGTTACAGTTTGCCGACTGGGGGGAGGGGGGTGTTGATCGCTCAGTTTGGGTTCAGTTCTTTGTTGGTCCGATTGCAGCCCGGAGTCCGCTGGCTGGTGACCACTGCATTCGACGGTTGTTGAGGTCCTTGTGCTTGTTCTCCACCCAGATCCCCTTAGCTTGTTCCCTGTGTAAAGGAGTGAGTTTTCCCCTCTGACTTGGTCTTCTGTTTGACCAAAAAGCAACTGGACTCCCCCCACGAGGAGCTGCTGTCGAGCGCGCTGCAGAGCGTGGAGCTGGAGCTGGGGAAGCTGGCTGAGATCCCATGGCTGTACCACATCCTGCAGCCCGACGACGAGGAGGTAAGCCCCCCCCCCACCACTCTCACAAATATTTCCACTACTGACTTTGATTTTCATTGCATTTTAGAAATCGTGGAAGCTGCTTTGCATTTAACGCCAGACATAGATGATCCAACCCTGTAAAAATGCAGACATTCAGCACAGTGGCTTGGCTCTGGTTACTGTTTGTACTGCCTAATCGCTTTAGAATTGCTTGGGCTTTTCCCGGTCGAAAGCCTTACTTCTTACAATAGAAGCAGTTTGACACATCTCCTCTGCCCCCAAAGGAAGAGTCCCTAGCCAATAGGCAGTCAGCACATAGCCCCGCCCACCAAGGGTGCCTTTGCCAGTGATTGGGTGGTTTGGCAGCCTCTCTGTGTTCCAGGACCCCTCCCTGGAGTATGGCAAGAGGAATAGCCGCAGTTCCATGTTCCGCATCGTGCCAAAGTTCAAGAAGGAGAAGGTTCTGAAGAAGGGCACCTCCCAGCCAGGTAAGTACCCACCCCCCACCCAGTTACAGGCCAGCTTCTACATATGAATCAATGATTTGCAGCTTATTTATACATCTGTGTGGTTTATGGTTATTTTACTGAAGCATGTGCAGATGCAGGGTGTGAATGTGCAAATGTTTATCGTGGGAAGTACAGACGCTCTTCTACTTGCGAACGAGATACGTTCCGAACGGCCGTTCGTAACTTGAAATGTTCGTAAATTGTTATTCAACATCATTTTAAGGGTATACGCAAGTACAAAGAACCAGGATGCTGGGAGTATGCAGGCTACGCTGCTGCGCGGTGGGAGTAGCGGCCAGAAGTCGTGCTAGGCAGAATTGGCGCGCAGAAAAAAAAACTCGATGTTGCAGACAGGAAAGGGGAGCCCAAATGAACACAATCTGGACTCTTTGTTCGTATGTCTGAAAGTTCGTAAGTTGAAAGTTCGTAAGTGGAGGAGCGTCTGTACAACTGCTTCCTACTGCGGTCTGTTTATGGATCTCATTCAGAATGAGATTTAAACACCAGGTATGAGTGTGAGACTTGAGTTGCCGTAACCATTAATATGATTGGGTGAGAATTCAGAGCAATCCTGTATCAGACCAGAACCACTATTAACATAAGTCTTGGATTTGAGGTGAAACTGTTCTGTAGCCAAAAATACCACTATGATTTGAATACCATATCTGTATTAAATACTGTGTAAGTGTCATACAGTGACTAAATGAGATGTTTGTGTTTTATATGTAGGAATACATATATATCTGTGCCTACATGTAGTTGTATGAATATGTTGTATGTAATATATATGTTGTATTAGCTTACTCTGAGTATGTTATTTCCAATACCGAATACTAAAGAGAAATATTGCGTTTCCATTTTAGAGGCTTTTAGAAATTTAGTTTGATTTTTTTCATTCTGAGAATTGACAAAATTGATTAATTTGTATAATTTTTTTTTTTTTTTTTGAAATTTTATACAAAGTGGTATGAAATGTGTTATTGCCCCCTCTGGTGGATGGATTTGTACCTACGCTGTAAAACAGCCCATTAGTATGACAATGCTACACCTTGGTTTTATTTATAACACCCATAGATATGTCTGACTGCATTCGATGCTTGCAAACACCCAAGCTCATCTGGACCCCCAATGAGCAAGTGATAACTCAGCCACACAAGAATGGCGTTCGCCGGACGTCTTGCCAGAAGCTAATTTAGTGTCTCTGTTTTGTGCCGTCATCCAGTCATCAGTCCAACCTGACCATCCATGAGTATCCATGCCCAGTCTCTCTGTTCGTGGTGTTGTCCGCCGAGGACGGTTGTTGTGTTCAGGCGCCGGTTAGCAGACACAAACCAAAGCTCGCAGACATGAATTTACTAGGTTGCTGTTTGGTTGCGCTCTGCTGACTGTGAGGGGTACTCCTGGCATTTGATGGTTAGAAATCATCTCACCATTTGGTCAACAGGAAAATGACTGTGCCAGAAACATTTGTGCCTTTATTAATTATGACTCCTACACAATTAAATGTAAGACCATATAATGACCTCTTCACGCTTTGATTTCAAGCCACTGGTTATTCATTTGGCCCTGCCCGCTTGTTCGTAGTCATACTCTGCGACCTGTTCATCGCCAGAGGGTATCTACCATCCTTATCTACGGGCACCTAGCCAACGGACTTCCTGCTGTCGAGGTTGTGCGTTTTTTTGCACTGGGATGGGTATCCCTGCGTTTGACCGGACGCAAGTGTGGGCAGCACGGGTGGGGTAGCCCAGATCCATCGCTGGAGGTTTGGGTGGGGTGTGGTGGGGCTGGTTTAGCCCCGCCCACCAGGGGGCGACGTGGGGGACGGATTCGGACTTCAGATTGCCCAGGCTTTAGCCTCCCGCTCCTTCCTATGTCCTGTGTGCCTCTGGAATGGTGGACGTCCCACTACAATAACCCGCATGCCAAACCCAAGACCAGAGGCCTGTACCAAAACAGCCTCCTAACCCTCGTTTTGCTAGCTGCTCCCACCACTTCTTCTCTCTTCTCTTCTATCTCTCTCTCTCTTTCTCATTTTATTTGTGCCGGGCTTTTCCTTTTGGCCTGACCCTGTTTGCTTGTGTCATGCGTCTGAGGGGGCGGAGACTGAAAGAGGGCTTCTTGCTCTTGACCTGTGTAGTTCAGAAGTGGGGTACTGAGGAGGTGGCCGCCTGGTTGGAGCAGCTCAGCTTGGGGGAATACAAAGACACCTTCATCCGCCACGACATCCGCGGCTCCGAGCTCCTTCACCTGGAGAGGAGAGACCTCAAGGTATACGCAACCCCTTTGTGCTTCAACCAGACTTGCGCTCTCGCTCTCTCTCTCTCTCTCTCTCTCTCGCGCTCTCTCACTCTCACACACATATGCACAACAGCTCTCTCTCCCCCTTTACCTCCCTCCTCTCTTTCTCCCTTTTTACCCTTGTGTGTTGCACTGCCCTGCTCGGCTTCTTGTGTGCAAGTTGGTTTGAAGACGAAACTTGTGTACTAACTCCACCCACCCAACCCCGCCCTGCTCCCCCCTCTCCATATATGGGCATCCCCGACTGTTGGTGAAGGAGCGTTGCAGGTGTATGCTCGTGTGCATGTGTGTGTTTTGGTGTTAGGAGGAGTGGGGGTGACTGCTAGGAAAAAAAATGTTAACGGCAGGTCAGGTGGGGGGTGGGGGGAATCTTAGCGTTTCGGACATTTGCCGACTGGCAGGGCTGCTCTGACGCATGGTGCAATATACATGTTAAATATTAAGGTGTGAAACTGGCTTTTCTGTAGTGGATGTGTTTGAGAGGAACAGAAAACCGTCTTCGGATAGTGGCCTTGGAAACTTCAGGAGATATCAGTTACTGGGATTCAGGCATACAGCATGAAACCATCACAGCATCTCCTCAGTAGGGTGAAGAGTAAATGTTTCCATATTTGGTCTGGGTTCATCATTTTTATGAGAATATCCTCTTATCTGCCCTTATCTAAACAGCTTTGTTCCACTGTATTATCGTAACCCTGAAGATCTGTGTATTTGAAAACCATCACGAGACTTTCATTATCATGATATGTGATCTTAACGGGAGCAGTGTTTAAGGTTGAAAGAATTGATTTTGTTTAGACGAGAGTGAGAAGGTTGTTGACAAGCCCTCCAGGCCTGCTGACACTGTACCTTGAACTGTGCCGATTTCCTTTCTGTCCCGTCCCGTCATACCAAACCTCTGTCCCTCTCATCGAACGGAAAACGCTCGTGGAAACTCATTGTGCCCTCTGGGCTGTCCTGGTGTGACATGAGAAAAGTACATGTCTACTTGCAGGAACACCCACCTCTACACATAAAATCCCTAAAATCTGAGCCTCTTTTTCTCTGATATATACTTCCTTTGTGATTGGCTAACACGCATCAACAGTATAACAATCCTTAGTCCTGCATGCAGTGACAAGCAACAGTTTCTGTTTATGGAACTGCTTTACTAGGATGAAGTAACCAGGCATTTATCAAGAACATAAATAAATATCAAGATCATTCAACGGTGTTTAGAGGTTTTTATTTTACAAAGGTTCGGTTTTACAAAATAAAGTTTTTATTTTTAAAGGTAGGTGTACAGTTTTTATTTTTCAGTACTGATTGGGTCATGTGTAGTCTCTTAGATATTCGAAATGTCCTCCATCAATGTTGGTGCATTCCTGCAGCCTGTCCCTGACACTGTGACACACTTCCGCTACCTTGATAGCCCCTTTCCACAGCGTTAGATTGGGCGACGTGGCGGAAGACATTTCGAATGCCTAAGGGCTAAGAGACTAAAGCTGACTCAATCAGTACTGTACAATAAAACTGTATGCCTACGATTAGCCCACCCTGTATATAACTTCATAACTCTTTTTATAACGGTATTATAAATATATCAAAATGTGAAAGTGCAGTACACTGAACGAGAACGTGATTCTGTAATGCTATTTAAATGGTCAGATGTGTTTCTGGGACAGTGCGTTATTATTGTATATTGTTTTCCATGTGTAATTGGACAGGTCTATTGACGGTCTTTGAGGTGAGCACTGCATTGCTCTCCAAACAAAGCCCCAATACCTTGATTGTGTCCAAGCCTCCCACTGCTGACAGTACTTGCTGAAGTCGTCCTTTTTGTTATATATCCATGCGTGTGTTCTGCTGTCGTTTGTCAGTCTGACATGGTCTAACAGGTTTCGTTCTAACAGGATCTGGGGATATCGAAGGTGGGCCATATGAAGAGAATTCTACAGGGAACTAAGGAGCTGGCCAAGAGCAACCTGACAGACCTCTAAGATGGGCGAGATCCTGCAGCGTTTCACAGAGCTTTATTGTATGAGAGAGCTTGGTACAGAGGGCAGAGCTCTGCAGGGACTCGGAGGAAGTCCCTCTTAAAGACAACTGCTGAGGTGTTTTTTTTTTTAAGATGGTAGCAGTGCCAAATGTTCTAGAATGACAGCTGTAGGTGGGTAGACTCAAAAATGCCATTTTAAAGTGCTCCACTCCGGGCAAAGTCAGGTATGCAACAATCAACATTTAAGGGACAGTCTCTGGCCTCCAGGGTGGGGGGAGGGGGGGTATGGCAAAGTAGCAAAACAGAACTTCCATGAAGCATGTACTGTGGGTAGTGTTTATGGCTTGTTAATGCTAACCGACACATTGGCTATATCATTGATGCTAGTATCAGGAGGGAGACATTTATGTCTGAAATATCATGCTTTCAACAGCATTGTTTACATTTTAGGTTGGCAGGGAGGAGACGGCAGACATTGAAAATGAATGGTAGTTCAGCTGTAATGGGTTTGGGACCAAGGACAAAAAATTGCTTTGGAGTCTCCTAACAGTGAAGTAATGCATGGTACGTCTGCTTGGTTCGGAAATCTATTTTATTGCATGATTAATGTCAGATTTTTTTAACATACACAAAGAACACTTGAACGAGTTTTATATCGATTTAATATTATGCCATTTGTTACTACTGAAGTCTGAAGTAACCCTTTGCCTCTAGGTTTCGTAATTCGATTTTTAGCATGGAAGCTATGCGTAAAGAAGCTGTGTTCTTTAGCAGTCGTGTGCCATATTTTTTTTCAGCGTTATTAACTGTTTTGCGTACCTTATAAGTCGGTTATCCTAGTTTATACAAACAGATTTTTCAAATACCAAGGACCTTATGAACTGTTAGTTGGAATGCAGTGTTTCACACAGGTATAGCCAGGTTTGAGCGGTATTACGGTATATCACAGTACTTCACGCTTCAAAATTAGCTGAGGATCAGCCGATAGTTAGCCGATGAATTTTTATTGCCAAGATTTCAAAATACCAGAATAGCGTTGCTTTTGAAAATACCGTCAAAATACCTTATACTGCAGTATAATGTTTGGATGGTATGACGGTATGAAAAATTATATACCGCGCAAGCCCAGGTATAAGTATGAACACTAGTACCAAAGGGAAGACAGTATTTTGTAAGCATTTGTTCTTCTTTGCCTAAAGTAATTATTGCACCAAAATGGCACTTGAACATTTAAACACTATCAGGAGTTGCTTTAGAATGAATCGTGAAAAGTCATTTGCCAACAACGTTAATATTTCTTAAGTTTAGTTAAGTTTTTTTGGGGTTGTTGATAGGTACTTTCTCGCTGTTTACTCGGCAAGAAATAATCTACTTAATAAACAGCTCTTGGTGATTGTTAGACTCTGTGTTTAGGTTCAACTTTCAAAAGCCAGTGCATCAGTCTCTGGCTGTAACATAATGCTTTATCAGGTTAGGAATATTATTTTAACACTTGGTGCAAAACTTACTCTGAGCTGTAAGTTTCCTGCAACCAGTGTCAGATAAGTTTGTAGGACTTCATTTTAAATTGGTATAGATGAGGGCATTACAGGGTATACTTCTATATGAAATTGTTCAGTTGTGTGTATATATAATAGATGACTTAAATCTATATGGTAATAGTTATAGGCCTTTGTAGATTGCTTATAAATGACAGCTCACACATTTAAATGTGTGTCTTGCACCAGAACCCCAATGTTAATGATAGTTTAGTGAACTCATATTTTTATATGCTGTTGTACTTTAATGAAGGTGCAATATTGTACTTATTTTGATACTGTTGATTGTATTTTGAAGCTATAAAATGTGATTGAGTTTGGTTTTGTTTTGGAAACTAAAAAGAGTGTTTCATTAACTTCTCTCCTTGGTTCCTAGAAAAAGGTGGACCTTTAGGTAGCCCAACTATAAAATCAAACGGCTTCGGACTGTCCAAAGTGCTTCCAACAGCTGGTTATTTCTCATGTTTCACTGTGCTTCCTGGATAATTTAAGCAGAGCGTGTCTGGAAATTTCCTTGTGCAAATTCTAAAACAAGTTACATGTTGGTTGTCACATTACATAAAAGCGGCCATTTTAAATATACTTCAATCAGAGTAATAGTATACAGTAAAGTGGCAAATCATCTTTGATTACTTCCTCAGTAAAATTATTCATTACAGCAATTCCCCACTAGATGGAGAAAGTACGATACTCATTTATACAGATCTCACTTTTTTTCTAACCTTTACATGTTTTAGTTTGTAGTCCTTTGAATTATTGCAATACGTCATTGAAAATCATTGCAAAAGCTGTAAGACTGACAATAGCCCCCTAATTTTCCTTTGTAAAACGGTTTCTTGGGAAGTAAATGAGGGAAACTTTGCCATTGGAGGGACACAGAAATAATTTCAATCGTAATAATTTATTAACTTCTAACAAAGTTGAAAACATGCACTGAAATTACGGGACTCAATACCACCGCTGCTTCTGTGGACAATCAAATGGTTTCATTTATGCTTCATGCTGCATTTTTTGACAGGTATCAGGAAATATATTAATTGAAATTAGTATTCAGTGTAGACCTGAAGTACCCATAAAATAAATGTAGGTTATTGTTACTCTACACGGTTTATTCTCTGAATGTCCAAGAAAGATTAATTCCTCATCATTAAGATGAGATTTATTCCATGAAGATACATGGCCGGGTCACTATGTATTAATCTATTTCTTGATCCCTGTTATTAAATGGTGCTTACAGCTTAGGTTTAAGAAACATTTTAGACTGAATTGGTTATATTTTAGTTTTAAAATTCTTAGTTTTTTTTTTTACCTGGGCTGTTGAAAGTTTTTTTCTGACTTAGGTGTGTCTAAGTTACTGGCCAAATTTATTTGTATAGCTGAAGATTCTGCAACTGCACTATCCAAGACACTTTTCCTCCACTGTTAAAACAATGTGTCCCCTTTAAGGTTTCCAGACGTGTGTTGCTTAATAGTTAATTTGACCTTTGCGGCACTCGGTTCAATATAAACAAGTGAACCACAAGTATGAAATAGGAGGTGCAAATATGGTGTTTGGGAGAGGCAAGCGGTTCGTGTTATTTTACTGTGCAAAAACAGAACTGGGGTCCTGTCATGAAATAAAACTGGCATTGCCAGATATACTGAGGTTTCCCTTAGTTGGTGGAAGATAGATATTCATATGTGAGCTTAGATTTCAGCAGATACTATAGAACACTACATGTTTACTATGATAACTAAATTCCATTACAAAAGAGTAATGTTTCAAAAAATAACTGATGCCAAAATAATTAGCAAAATGTATTATGTCTATTTATTATCTAATTCTGATTTTTTTTGTATATTGGTAACATAATATGTACCTTAACAATTCAGTCTAATCCGTGAAATAAAACGAAAAACAAAAATGCTTGTAAAATGAGTTAAAAACAATGCAGCTAAACGTATTCAACAGCTAAACTTTTGTGGGTGATAAAGGAACCGATAGGAAACTATGTGTTACGTTTTATTGACCGTGGTTTTGTTTAATGGCTTCCACTTCTGTTTGCATACATCCCTGTGGCACACGTGATACGAGGTCATTTGGACGGCTTTTCGATCTGCAAGTATGAAACATTTACCGCATTTGATATTAAGATAGCTGAGTTAATGACAACACACAGTGCCTTATTCAAACAAGGCGTGGCTTCCACTCTTTAACCATTTATTTGGACAGAAAAGCCCAGGAAAGTGGATGGTTTCAGGTGACCTAATGATATTCCTGTAACGGATCATATCTTCTTCAACATGATAACATGGGATGGTGTATAATGCACCTATTTTTTTTTCTTTTCTTTTCTTGCCACTCTCCCAAAGGCCCTGTAAAATCAGGTTTGGTGTTTAAATTAGCAGTTCTACAACGGACTGAATTTTCATTATGAAATGTTCATATTTTATATGAAGTCCTCCCTAACATTTAATAAGGAAACTGACGCAAATGTATACCAAATATCAGCTTTACCTGAGTAGTGAGAATAAGTCGCAAACTACCTGGTTTTAAAACCACCACATTGTGTAGAACCGTGTAGAGGATGCTAACAAATCTCTAACTTGGTTTCCAACAAGGTGAAGGAGAACTTTCATTTGTTTACATTCTGTTTACAATGGCACAGTTTCATTTTTAACATTTTATAATGTCTAAATTAATCATATATAATATATTATATTTGTTTGTATAATATATTATATATCATATAGGTATATAAATAGGTATACACAATATTTGCGTATTTATTGCCTAAGATTTAACCAATGTGTAATGTGTTTTCACCTTTGGAATATAATGTTACATTTATTGTATAGATATATGGGTGGTTTTGGTAAAGTAGTTAGTAATTTTTATGACTACTAAGTGACTGTTTTTTGTGCCTTTTTATTGTAGAATGCATGGTTAACTATTTATTACAATATGGAAGTCACTGAGATGTGTATTTTTGTATTCTGCTAAAATTAATGGGTAAACTTTGTTGTACATTTTGAGATGCCTTAAAGGCGAATACTTAATATCTTCCTACATCAATAAACCTAAAGTCATGAAAGATGTTTTATCTCTGTCTTGCATTTCTTCATGCTGCATGACATGTCCTGTCATCCATAACTACAGAATGGTCATTTCTATTTATCTGAATAAGTCATTAATGATATCCATTGTTAACATTTGTTTATTTATTTAGTAGACACTTTATTCTAAAGTGACATACAATTTATAAAGCAGAGTCAGTCAGTCCCTGGAGCAACTGTGATTAAGGGCTGAGCTCAGGAGCCTGCTGGTGATATTACTCTGCCAACCGTGAGATTTGAACCGATGACCTTCCAGTTGTGGGCACAACAAGCTAACCTACTAGGCCACACACCCCCATATATTTGTTTTTTTTTAAACACAAAATGTATCTTTACTGTCTGTAATACTACAACAACAAACCAGTCTATATGGAAAGTTCATCACCTTTCTAAAATCACATTTCTAAAAATGAATAAAGTTTTCACACTCAAAAGTTGTATTTCCTCTCCTGGTAATTTATATTGACTGTGACTGTGCTGACTGTTCCACAAGTGCATTTTCAACACGTCAGTTATTAAAAACCTTAAAAGCTGGTATGCGTTACAGTACAGAGTCGTCAACTTTGATCAGCTGGTGGGCATGAGATTTTCAGTTTGAGACAAGTCTGCACACACATTTACACCAGTAAATAAGTTTAATTATCATGTAAATACTGTAGTCTGTAGGGTTTGCAAACTGCCCTAACGCCTTTGATGTTGCTAGTTTTAGGTTTATAATGGAATAATATAGATTTGCCGTAAGTGTGAGAGTCAGAAAGTGTGAAATGTCACGCCTGCAGTCGAACACTGGGTCATGGAAAAGACAGAGATCACGGATGACAGAAGTCAAAACTGAATAAGCACTGTAGATAAATGAAGCTAACAAAAAGTGTCCTTATACTGTACAGGCTTGGACACCACGAGCAAGACATTAACAGCTTCAATGCACTATGAAATACAATTTAGATGTGTCTGTTTGTGTGTGACTGGTTTGAGATACAACCATTATTCCATGACAAATTTCATCTGGATTTTTGTGGTGGCAGGAAAGGTGGTTCCTAGAACCTCCCATGAGTGTTTAGGTTGACTGCGTCTCTATGACTGCCATAGCACTCTCATGATCAGCAAACCACTTACTGTAATGACGTAGTAACCTTTTTTGTCCCATGCATGGTGACACTGTCATTGGGAAAGACTCCACTGCAATTATGATTGCGATGCTGCACCACAGGATGAACAGGATCACTCAGAATACATATGCTGGCATTTATCCTTCTCCTCTGAAGGTCTGAGACGTCAGTAAAATGAATGAATCTAAACAAAGCCCTGAATGATTTGTTTAGCTAAGACGTTTTAACCACTATTTTCTCAGTTGGAGAACTAGGCCTGAGTCCCGCATGTTGTAAGATCTTTGCCTCCGTGCTGCTACATAACACGGCTAAAATGAGACACTCTCACACTTCAGTTTAAAAGGATTATTTATAACTGAAAGCCACAGGAACTCTGGTCTAATCTAACCCCTTCTGGAAATTCCACTTGAAATCAATAGACCTACCTTAAATATCTTGAATCTTTTTGATTAAGTGCTCTCTGTGACTTGGCAGCTGAGATACAGGTAACTCATATTAACACATATTTGAGAGTAATGCAGTGCAGTTAAATACTCACCCACCCTCAAACAACTGTAAAATTCAACCAGAATAAGAGTAATAATGAGTAATGAGGGGTAATTAAATCTCTATCAGATATTCAAGCAAGCAAACTTTGAACATAGCCGATGTTTCGCGATTCGTGTACACATTCCATACAAAAAGACAAGGATCGTGGGGTCACAGTTATTTGCCTGGGTGACCATATGTCCACTTTTTCCTAGTCCTGACCTCTTTTTTTGGACGTAAAAATACCTGAATTGTCCGGGATTTAGATTTATTTCATGCTTACATTTACTTTCTACAATCAGAATATTTTCTCTGTGCATACTGCGTTGACGCCTCTCTTTGCATCCTCTCTGTTTTTGCAAAGCAAAATATGGTCACTCTACTTAAACGAGCAATACAAACTTCACAGCAACATATAACTGCATGTTTTCTTTCTTGCTATAAGAAAATAATATAATATTTAGGTATAATGAGTTGCATTAAATTTGCTTCAATTCTGCTCAGACCTCTACCCATTCGCGCATGTAATCAGCGCTCAATCGTTGTTTCTGAGCTCTGATGAAAGCCTGTATCCAACGGGAATCGTGTTCGGAGATGATTAGTCTTGCCTGGATTTACCTTGTTTTGTGAAATGATTTGACAGGGAGCATCCGCGGGTCTGACGGCAAACGGTGAGGATAATCATAAATCACCTGAAGGAAGCTCTCATGTTTTCACAGCTATATCATGTCCTGTGCTCGACATCGATCTTGAAATAACACGCTGTAGCTGTTATCAATGGAAACGCACAGGAAGATATTCAGTGATGTGTTCGGCGTTATCAGGCCGCGGCCCAGCTAATTGGAAAAATATTAGGAAGCTTGTTAATGTTGACAGCGAGCGTTACGCATAACGTAGTAATAATATTATACACGGCTCTTTTCATAAACGTTTTTAAGTCGTTTGGCCTACGTGTGTCAATTTGTTTGAATGTTGTTCGAACGATAACTAGGTACTTACTCGAATCAAGAAAATGCGACACTGATTCACACAGGGACTTTGAATTGGTTATTATGGCTGTTAGCTAGTTAGCTGTTGCAGTTCGTATAACCCTTTAATATTCGGTCTCTTGTGCTTTAGTAGAGATTGTTACCCAAAATTAATTTAAACAGCTTGCATGATCGCAATCGGGGATGCGAATCACGTCAAACCGGCTATCTTCATGTTACAATATATAATGCTGTTGTTTTAGTTTAAGCTAATGTTTATTTCGTTTACAGCTCACTAATTTATCAATTGCGTTTTCGGCCAATGTATCTGTATGGAAATTGTTTTGCGTAAAAAATGCAATTTGTGTATTTGGGTACATGTGAGCAGAATTTCCCACAAGTCCCGTTTGTTGTTTCAATAATTTTATGTAGGTTTTTGAAAAAGGGGAGAAATGTTTCAATGCTGTGTCAGTAGGCTTAGCTGTTTAGTTTTGTTGTTAATATCTGTTGTTGTTGTTGAAGATGCAACAGTGTTACGCAGTCTTTGCAGGAGAAGAAAGGAAATCTTTCCTTCTGCTTATCTTTAACTATACCTACGTACTGTATAAGGATGATTTAAAGCATGACCTGTTGTTAACACTGAAAAGCTTCTACCCCTGTCAGATACTATTCCCACCTCTCTTAAACTGCTTATAACATCTGAGAAGATGAACATTTAGCATTATTTTCCTATCCGTGATTCACAGTTATCTTTTGAAACCGTATTTTAACGGATAGGATTATTTCATGCTTCAGTGTTGGTATGATCATATTCAAGGTGATGTTGGTTTGTTTTATTTACATTTGGTTTATGTAGCAGATACTTTTGTTCAAAGCAACATACTTTTTTTTTTTTTTAGAAAGGGTTGGGGGGTTAAAAGGGCCCAACTGGGATTTGCAACAGTGACCTTCTGATCAGTCACATGATCCTAAACTGCTAAGCCACACATTGTTAGGTCATAATCTTTGGCCTAGCATGTCTCACTCTTATACTTCAGCATGTCACTGACATCAATATAAGCTGAATGTCATGGTAACATAAAAAGCCATTTATGGTATTTTTTTTATTAATAGAATGTAAATCTACACACACATTCACACATATTCAAACAGATTGTTTGTCACATCCATATCGTTCATAAAATGCCATCTTTTTCTATCCTGTAAATAAATATATTAAGTTTGAAGATCTCAACCCAGGCGGTTACATGAAAATATATGGAAGTTGACTCATTAATACTATGCTTGTCTCTGCTCTGAGGCATTTTATTTGTCAGTATGAGTCTTAATGTCACATTCATAGTGCTGGAATTCCCCCAAGCATTCACAAGTGATGTTTGTTTTGTTATGTTTGACTGGCTCTTATGCTGCTTAACCTTAATAATTGCAAGATGTATTTTCTTTATAATATAAGCTGCTAGACTCAAACTGTCATATTTATAGAGACTTTCTGTATGTAGACTAGACTCCGTCATGCGCATAGAGACATTTTTTAAAGTTGTCACGAGTTGAATATACCTTTAGAGTGGGTGAAATGGCATGGACACCTCAACATTCAGCGCCATTTTCATTGTTCATCAATCTCAGTTGAAAAATTTTACATTGCATCCTGAAAAGCCATGTAGAGGAGAAAGGACACCAGTGTGGGTGGGGGGGTGTGAATCCCAACCCTACTCAGGGGGGCTTGTGTGGTCCTCCGATGTTGTCTCTGTGTTCTCTGGGTACACTGGTTTCCTTTTACTGTCCAAAGGCATGCAGATACAGCATTTGGCATCTAAACTGTTTATAGTGTGTGAATATATGGACTGGCCTTCTGCCCAGCCAATACCCCTGCCTTGTGCCTCCTCACATTGGCTTAGGGCCCCCCTCCCCCCCGAGACCCTGTACTGTATAAACTGTCTCAGGATACATGGATGGCTCTACTTCTTAGTTGCCAGTGTCAGCACATTAGTTGAAGGTCCTGTATTGGAGTAACACATCAGAAGATCAAGAATAAACATGTAATGCACTAATCAAGTGAAGGTCTCTCTAGCCTACAGATTATTGTTTGATGTTCTCTTGAACACAGAAAACAGTGAGTTTGGGACTGTGTCTTTATGTTATAAGTGTTTTATGTCTGTGGCTAAATGATCTGCCAAACCACAGCTGTCTTAATGGGTTAAATAACATATTTTTTAAATACTTTTGAACCTAGAATTAATTCTAGGTTCAAATGATTTCTCTTTAAGGTTTTGTTTCTTGTGACTTCACCAAATCACTTGAGGGTAATGAGATGAAAAAACAAGCACTATGTGTTACCCGAAGTGCACGTAGTTGTAAAATGTGATTGTTGTTGTTGTTGTTGTTGTTGTTGTTGTTGTTGTTGTGTTAATGACCAGAGAGGAGGGCTTACTGGATCTGTTTCCTCAGTTTCTCACATTTTTAATGCTTCTGGTAAAGCCCACCACACAAAGCAGGTATTCGGTGAAGGCATTCTTTTAAGTGTGCTGTGTCAAGGTGTTTCTTTAATGTGATACTAACACTTGGTTCAACAGGCTTGCTGTCCGCTTATTTGATAAATGATAATTGCCGAAAGCTTTCCGCTAGCTGCACTCTCATTGGTGGAGCCTTGTGCATGTGGTTTTATTGGTTGTTTGCACAGCAGTATTTTTTCTCTGTTGTTCTTTTTTTTTTTTTTTCCGTTTTCCCGGCATTCCCCCCCACCCCCCCCCCCCCCCCCCC